GCCATTGTTCTATTAGACACTTTTTTTAATTTACTTTTCGCCACAGAAGTGAATTAAATGCAGAAATATAGACTTACTGTGTATATAACTTTACTTAAAATCAAGAAGCCCCCCCCCCTCCCATAAAGCTTCGGAGACACCTAGTGAAGGGTCCCCCAGGTTGGGAGCCACTGGTTATGCCCTTGAGTGACCCCAAACTTTAGATCAGTAGTTTACATTTGTATATGTTACAAATAGGCTGATTTATCTAATAATAGTCATGTTAATATGTATTTATACCCATATTTTAAATAAAAGATCAAATAATAGAGGGGGGCCTTCTAATTGCAGTGACTGTAAGGAGCCCCTAGGGGTCCCCTGTTGAGTTCTATATAAACTTAACTGCATGGTGAAACTATCAAACTGGATCCTGTGAAGCTTTGTAGATGCTGACAGGCTGAACTTTAGCTACTTGAGAGTTTATTATTCCTGTAATAAAAGAATAGTTTGGATTTATCTGAAGGAGGAAGGAAACTGAGTCCTGGCAGTTATCAGAAATTCAACATTTAACCACTTCACCTGTGACACAGACAGAGAGCCAGACAGCTGCAGCCAGAGCTTCCCTTCATCATTTATTGTATTTGGACAGCTGGAACGGTGATAAAACCACTTTAAACAACAGGCTGCAGACGCTCACACAGGAACACATCGGGTTCAGTATGTCAAGATAGCGAACAAACGACATCCTATGTTATATTTCATCACAGAATGCAGGTCAGTGATGCTCAAAGTGTGGTCGGTGGACAATCAGGGGTCCTGGAGTGGAGTCGAGGGGGGCTAAACAAGGTAAATGTATCTGTTTTTAATTTATTTAAGTAAACCTTTTTTTTGAGAATATGGAAGCCCCTTCTTGTAAGAAAATACAAATTATCAAGCATCACATAATTATGCCTTAATTATAATGTAGTGTTACAGAAGTGACTTACAAGTATGAATCTATTCTTCTAATCTAGTTTTTATTTCCCCAATGGGAGTGGACTACAAAATAAAAGCCTGCTTAAAGAACTTATATAATATGACACTTCATGTCCCAAACTCAGTTAGGTGAAAAAAACACACAAAAAAATACACAAAATAACAACATCCTTACAGTTTTCAACCAGTGCCGGTACAAAAAAAAGATTCAGAAACAAGAAATAGATCAAGTTTTGCTCCACAAGATTGAACCACTTTTAAAATAAAAACAAAGCTTATTCTTTAATAATGTTAATAATGTCATTATATTTTGTATTTCTTAAAAGGTTTATATTAGAACAACACTAGCACACGCCACAACCTTAACTTCCTGAGTATTATTTTGTAATATTTTCCAAAAATGGCAACAGACAGTTATAGCAGTATATGTCTGGACATAAATATGGAAGCCCATTCCAGCCAAAAACAAACATAACAAATAAGGCACTGCAGAAATACCAACTCTAAAAACTATATTCAGTACTTCATTGTAATAATAATAAATTGGACTTTATGTAACACAACAGTTAACATACAGTAGCTAAAAAGATTACTTGAGTAAAACAATTATCACAATTATTATGTATGAATCATTCATATAAGTAACTTATTACTTGGATTAGAATTTTACATTTTTAATCATACCTAAACTCATACTGAGTAATCTTTTGGCAGTAATGGGCTTCCATACAACACAAAGGTGATTTAAATTTTGTTCCTTGAGGCCACAGTGTGAACAGAAATATAGACTAGCTTGGTTTTGACATGAGTATTTAGTAAAATGTCCATTTTTGCTACCACAAGTTTTCTGTAAAGTTAAAGGAACACTCCGATATTTAGGAAATCCACTTCTTTTCAGTTTTACTTCTAAATTCAACAAAAATATCAGTGTGTTCCTTGACAGTAAAAGCACAGGTTAAGTTACAGAAGCTCTGAGGATTACATGGTGCATGATACGTGGCTCATTTGGGCACCGCTGATTGGCCGTTTCCAGGGAGTGATGGGGGCGTGGCCACATGTGGGTTTTTAGGCATTGGTGGTAGTGCCAGTGGCGCCATCTTTCCTGCCAATCTGACAGTAGAGAATCATGGCGAAGACCATGCCGAAAATCTGCAGAGAGGAAACACATTAGATAAGCAAAACACTAGACGGCCACTGAACTTGTATAACTTAGTTTAATTGTATGCCATAAATCATCAATTCTGCTCAAACTTTCCTGTTAAGTATATTTAAGGATGAAGAGTCATTGTTTTATTTTTGTAACAGCATTATGCTATCCATTTCAAATGTAAAGCCCTCAGGCAGACAGAATCTCTTAATTTTCCAACAAGGCTTTTATTGTGAAAAATTTGCAGGGAACGTTTGGAAAATTCAGTGACTTTCACAGTTCCCATTCAGTACTTCTAGTTTAGCCTACTGTCACTTGTTTGTTATTACAATATACACAAATATTGTTGAAAGTGATGGAAATTGTTGTGGCAACTATGTTAGAGAGTTATTAGAGATCTAGCTTTTATTTTGGAAAATACGGTATATTGACGCCAGTGCTTGTTTCTCTTTGTTGGAGAATAGTATTCAGAAAGAGTAAATGTCCTGTGGTGTGCCCCAAGGTTCAGTCCTGGGCCCCCCTTCTTTTCTGAACCTCCATTTCTACGCAGATGAGTTATTTGCCATGTTTGTTTGGTCTCTTAAAAATCCTTTAATCTTTTCTTTTAATGTTCCCTATTTTATTAAAAAATGTGTCTTCTTGTGCTGTTCACAGCTGAGTTGGTACAGACTGCTAGTTTACTATCTAGCAGACACGAATACAGTTAAAGACAATTAAAATCTAAATTGGAGGTAAAACATCTCAGAGCTTTGGAGCTGATGAAATCATAAGAGAAAATGCTATTAATCATCTTATTGTGTGTTCTCTTATGATTTTATCCACACATAAACAAGGACTTGTAGAATTGTGCTAGGCTAATGCGGTTTAACAACAGACACTTTACAGAGCTTTTGTTTTGTCTCTGCTTGAAATGATCCTAAACTTTGAACTCTTTCTGGTGTTTTCTTGGGCCTCTCTCCTCTTCTCTCCTCCTGTTCGACAATAATCATCAGTGCAAAACATAGTGTGCTGTAAGGCTGTATATAGTTATATTGACCCTAACCCTAATGATGATTTTTAATTTAATTTAAGGAATTGTTTCAGCCTTAAAATACATGTGTGGTCAACAACCCCACCCCCACCACTTTAGGACTAGCTGTAAAAAAAACTTGGTTGCGGCTCAAGGATATATTTGTATAAATATTTTTAGCATGGATGTTTCTCATGGGAAATTGAACTGTGTGCTTTTGCATGTGTGTTTACCAGCAGGATGGCGATGGCAAAGGCAATTCCCAGCACCACCGTCAGGTTTTGCTCCATCAGTTCGACGATCTTGGTGGAGCAGGGCTGCAGGATAAGACAAGACATCAATATACATAATCACGCTGTACATCACGTGATTAATTGTTAAAGTAAGTCAGTGGGGAGTTTCCGTGCACTCAAGTGATATTTCAGTCAAACACTGGTCTCACCGTGGAGTAGACTTTGGAGGAATTGCAGTCTGGATCGGTGGCATTGCAGCGGCAGGAGTCAGGAACCGTGGTCCAGTCTCCTGGTCCTTGCACAAGACCACAGCATTTCAGCTGGAAGGGAAATACAATAACATATTAGATTCAGCTGTTAGGAAGGCTGCAGCATTATGGCAACTGCTTGTTAACTGTTCATTAATTACTTACTGATTAGATGAGTGACAGGAAATTACATTTCAGTAATCTACGGAAGCTGTGAACGCCTGTGCTTGCATTATTTTGGGAAAACAAGCTTTGTCATTTTCAAATAACATTACTTATAAAGTCTCTGCTCTCCCTTCAGTTTGTCATCCTGTGTTTTGCAACCATACATACAACCATACCAACTGGTAAAATCTGGAACTGATTTTACTGACAAACACCTATTTTAATTAGTTTCACTTTTTAAAATGTGGTTTATTGGCACTTTTTAATTTTGTTAATTTGTGTAATAAAGTTCCCTTGTTTAAAATGTTCTCCATGGTGTGTCTCCTTTATTGTTTCTTCACACACAATACCAGGAAAGTAACAACAACTTTTTTCAGTTCAGTCAAAGTAAAAATATAAGGCAGACATACACAAGCTTTTTGCTACATCAGAGCAAATCAGACACACATCTCAGATAGAGTTGTGTTGCTAACTTGGCGACTTATTTTGAATAGCGACAAATTTAGCAACTTATTAAAACCATCAGTATTTTTAAACGTGTTATATTGTAAGTTGTTCCCACCCAGCACCAGGGTCTCTACCTCTCCTCTTGGGCTGTGTGCAGGCAGACAGTCGGCTAACTGTAGTGTGTGTGGGAGCGGACTCTCTAGATTAGTGTTCCTGTATTTTAGCCTTTATGTAAATAGTTTGGACTTAAAAATATTTGAGTAACTTGTTTGATCTTCTCTCTCTGTTTTGCAATTTAAAAAAAAGTATAACCCTGTAGTGAGTTTGTGACTGACTAAATAATTATAATCATTCATGGCTGCATACCAATCAGAAACAGGTTTGCAGTGATGCATTTATTGATCAAACAGCAGGAAATAAACAAACTCAACCAATTACTTAAAGAATAATGAGATATATTAGATATAAAGAACTTGTGTATGTATATATATAATCTAATTTCTCTTTTCTCAAGATCATGAGATAAATTAACTTGTGATCTCGAGATTATAAAAATATAGCAAGCTTCCTTTCATTTTTAAATAAAAAATGCCAAATATTCTCTGGTTTCACCTTCTCAGTTATTTGACATTTCATATTAAAAATTATAATTGCAGACTTAAATCTTTTTTCTTTTCTTTTATATATATATATATATATATATATAACAAACAAATGTAATTATAATCCAGGTCACACTGCATAACATCCAACAAAGGACCCCAACCCTGAGTTTAAGAAACTACTTCCAGTTCTTTCTCTGGATTGTATTTATATTGTGAAAGTGTCTGTTAGAGACAGTTGGTGGCAGTCTGGTGAATGTGCGCCCTCTTGTGGGTCTCCACTGTAAATACACCCTGATAGAAGCTGATCACAGATATATTGGTATTAATATTGACAAGTATATAAGGTTATAATATTTTATAGGCTGTACTTTTTAATGAATCTGTCATTTTTTTGTGTGTTCAGATCCTGTTTGGTACATTTTTGATAAATTAGTCTCACAAACTGCCTCAAATAACAAATTATTTACTGTAACTAATCATCACTGAGCTACACAACTAGTGTAACTACTTTTGATCACTCAAAGTGAAGAATAAATAAGTATATTGAGCAGCAAAGTATGATTATGAGGAAACATTATTAAAGATTTTTTCTCCAACACCAACTGTTGTGTTTAATCTTGTATTTCTATCTTTGTGAGGACTATAGTTTTAGACTGGGGTCGGTACAGTTGTGTGTGTTTTTGTGTGTTTCTGTGTGTGTTACCTCCCGCTGCAGTGTCTCCAGGTCATTCTTCACAGATTCCGGTTGTGACGACAGCGGTGTGAACTTGATCAGGCGCTCCTTCACCCATTCCTTCACCTGCATAAACACACAACATAAACTGTGACACTCCAAACAAACTGCTGAGACTGCAGGCGATGTGAGGACGACGTCACTTCATGTTTTACCTTCTTCTCTTCCACAGCTCCCACGATGCCCGCCGCCAACAGGAGGATGAAGATGGCGAGAAGGCTGATGAAGAACTGAGGGAACAGAGAAGGAAAAGCAGGGTTGATTGTCCTTTCACGCCAATGTGACAAAAAAATTGTAACTTAGAAACTTTGTCAGTATTTTGACTTAATATCTCATTATTTTAAGAAAGTTTCTCATTGTAATCACTTACAGAACTTTTCAGTTAAAGTTTTGTTATTTCAGTGAGGAATTAATGTTGTTTAAAGCGGTGGTTTTCAGTCTGGGGTTCAGGGACCAAC